CATGCAGCGATTTTTGATATAGGAGGTCATTCTCCTTTTTGGCCTCCGCATCACTATTGATCATGGCCCTGATCCTCGATCTTTAGATCGAGATCAGTCAGTTCTATCCCAGCCAAGAGTGACGTCTTGGCTTGGTCTTCGGAGCTGTTCTCAGCTAGCGATCTTTGATGAGGTAGCTCTCAGAAGGTAATTTGCAGCCTTAGATCATCGATCCTTAACCTGGATTGAACAAGGCTTGTTTTGTATCAGTATCAGTCACACTCATTGAGTGACTTCGATACTAGAGACCCTTGCAATCGCTGGGTTAAGTGAGGTGATCTCTTGGAGATAAATTCCTTTGTTGGTGGCCTCACCATCCTCTCCCTTATAAGAGCGGAAGGTGGTGCCATGAGCATGGCTATCTGCAACTTTGTTGCTGATTAGTACTGTTGACTGTTCTCAGTCACCGATCTTTTAATGAGGTGGTTCTCAACAGGGGTTCCAACTTGCATGGATGGGTTTCTCATTGATTTTTATGAGGTTTACTCCTCCAGTTGAAATCTTGATAGATTTCTGGTATATTGGTTGTGTGGCTTCCATAGCCTCGCGTTGATGTGCTCGGTAATGGGCAGCGTGCAAATGAAACAAGCATCTAGATCGTCAATCTAGATACTAAATCACACACACACACACACACACTATCACCAATGTATATAAGTTCGAGGGTGAGTACAATAGAAACACTCGCGATGTACTTAGATTTAGATAATCTAGTGGGGTTTTGTCTGAAAACAACTTCAATTCTTCTTTCGATGTGTTTTACACAAAGTACACTAGTCTGCGATAGCGGGGTTTTATGAACTGGTTTTGCAAGGTATAGTCGAGCAAGTTATACTCGTTTTGACGTTGTCTAGAAGAGCTTCTAGCGGACACTTCAAATAATCAAACAACCAAAGACTCCGAGGTCTACAAAGAGTGTGAAATCACTCTACAAAGAATGCACAGGTTCTGACTTCAAGTACAAGACTTGCAAAGAGTACACAGACTCTGGAGTTCCTTGAACTCAACGATTGTTCAAACTTAAAGCATTCTAGGGCTTATTTTACTTCAACTAGATGAGGTCTTTTGACTTAAAGTCGACTCAGCATGTCTAGATCGCTAATCTCGGAGAGAGAGAGCACGAGGCCTTTGTCCATGGAGCAGTTCAATTAACTAGCAAGGCGCAAATGCAGGGACGGCTCTACTTCCTACTTAACTCTTCTAGATTACTGTAGCCACCCTTATGGGTTGACTTTGGTAACTTAATTCACTTCAGTCGAGGATATGCAATAAAACCAGTGATTGATTAGGTAGCTATACAGGCTACTAGCACAAACACGAGGAAATGCTTTCCTGCCATTATGCGTCTAGTCGCTGCTAATTTATACAATTCGTGTTCTAGGTATAGGAGCCCGTATCTACAGTAATTATGGTACAAGCTTTGGAATTAATACAAACGGTGAGTCACTATCCTACAAGTATTGCGCCATTCCGTAGTTTCTATTCAGTTCGATGCGACTACACCGGGTTATTCTGTCGCCGAGGAGTACCCTACTGGTCCGTGGGTGCTCCTTCTTCCATCTGCAAGGCTTGCCGCGTGCTGTATGTATTGAATACTGCGGTATGCACAGGATCTCGAGGATGTAACCACTGATCGCGATCGACTGCAGGTCCGAGATTGTATTCTGTTGATCACTGCGTGATCAAGGTCAGTCATCTCGGTACCCAACGTGGCTATTCATTCTTCCAAGGTTATTCCTTTCCTAGCCTGAGTTGATCTCGAAAGCTGATCTGTTTCTCGACTTAGCAATTTTTCTTGACAGGTTCTTTCTACTCGTCGAGGCGATGAGGCATCTAGTTCATTCCATTCTTCAACTTCTTGGTTTTTATACTCCATACAGACGAGTCCCCGAGATTTGACTGTTATAGTCTTACTTAGGTAGGGCTTAGCTTGGCGTGTTGACGGCTGGTAGAATTGACTCTTTGAGACGTCGTTTCTCAGTCCATTCTGTACTGCCGTGCTTTCATTCTTTATGTAGTATTTAGCTACCAGCACGAAGCCTCCACTGTAGCTCTCTGTACCGCTTGTAGATTGCATAAACTGATGTAAAATCACAAAATCTACGGGTAGCCTGATACCAGGCGTATCAGCATCTCCCAATGAAAGGGATTGGCAGTACCTGTATGGGCAGGGTCCAATAACTCTGGTTTAGGTGGTTAACAGTCATGAGCAAAGGGTCAGTTACTGTTGTGGGTATTCGATGATGTGAATGGTTTGAGTATCATCCACATTAAGAGATGACAGTGGGGTATGGACCACTTCATACGTGCTTCTGATGAACATGCTTTGCGGGTTCGCTGTCAATCAATGGTGACAGAGATTTTGCAAAGGTTTTCTCCTTTCTGATGAGTCCTTTTACGGGTGGATCGCATAAACTGTGCATTAATCATTTAGCTTCTTCGCCAGTTAGGAGTGCAGCCTGGGGATGTAACCGAGCTGTCATGTGTCAGTCTTCAATTTCTTGACACATTTCATATTCTTGTTCGTAATGATCTATATCTTGCTGCATTCTTGGAATGCTCTGCAGACATATGGTCTTTAGTGACTGGAGGTTTCTATTCCAACTCGCATGGATGGGTTTCATGGCGTAACCATTGTTTTTAAAGGTTTTCTTCCTTCCCTATGATTTCAGGGCGAAAGGGATTTATCGCCCGGTGTGGGTAGCAAAATTGCTCGATGAGTCCAACTAGATTTCGCATTCTGGTTGGCACTCCATGGCCAGGAACCTTTCGGGTTCCAGGTTAACGAAGAAAAGTTCTCTAGTGAGCTGTTGCCATTTGGGCATCTCCACTAGCGATCTGATCTGCCCCGGCAATCCAGCTTTTTCCATGGTGGAGGTTGGTCTCTCCATCTTGGGGGCTGGAATTTCCGGTCTCTTTCCAACAGTCCAATTTTCGCATCTTGGACTGGTTGGGGGGTTTGGAGTGCAGGAGACTAGGATGATTGGTTATGATCCCAAGTCCTTCGGTACTGCTCCTATATCGTACTGGTATGATTCATTCAAGGTAGTTATTATGGCCAATAACTCCCTTTTTGAGTACTATCCATGCTACCCAATTGACAGTGGGGTACAGACCACTCCATACGTGAGTTCTGATTTTCATGCTTTGTGGGTCCACTGTCAATTGGTTGGGATAGGATTTTTGTGGATTTTCTTCACCAGCCGGTTGCTTAGGCTGCACATTAATCACCTAGCTTTCCTGCCCGTCAAGGGTATATCCATTACAAGTGGGTTTTGCAGCCTCTAATCTGAGGCGCATGGCCCTTCATGTCCACCTAGGTGTATAGGATTCTTGGCATCACTGGTCTGAAGGGTACTCCTCTGATGAGTACTCAAGGTTTCCCTCTTTCAGCATTGGGGACTTCTCCTTGTCACCATTCGCTGCAGGATTTGTGGCCCTTTGGTCTTCTGCAGTTACTGAGCTTCTTGCCTGTTCGCTTGCGCTATTAAGGTCTTTTCCACTCAGGGATGGCCCACACAGTCTGGATTTTTTAGAATTCTGTAAACTCTTGGTAACTGAAAATAATGAAGAGTCCCAGAAAATGAGCACCAACTGGGTGGCAAGTTGGTGTTCATTTTCCGGTAATTCTCATTGTCAGGTATTTTAATGAGAGTTACCGTATCATTTCTTTGGTTGCCTCGAGGGGAGGTTTGGTCCAAGCTTGGGTGTCGATCCTGCTTCCAGGGACAATGGAGGTTACTGCCAAACCTTCATCCAGTAGCTCTATTATGCTGCAGGCCTCTACCATCCCTGCTGCATGGCCCTCCGCTTTTCCAAGGGGTTCACCACCATCACAGCGGTGCCTACTCGTTCTTGATCCCACACTGCCAGCAGCAATCCTTTGCTTGCTCGTTTCTGGAGTTGCACACAAGTTGTGCCTAGTGGGGTTCACTGCCGATACAGTCATTGTATCGGCAGAGGAAATCCCTCGTACTCCGTATCGTCTGGTGGAGGGTTGGAAGTGTTCATCATCCATGTCGTTACAGGAGTCCTCTTTTGTGTTCTGATGTGTTGCTTCCTTCTGGATTGGCTGCATCCTGATCATTGATCTTTCCGATCAATTGATCAGTCAATTCCTGATGGGTCACCCAGTTTTCGTGTCCTGGGGCCATCCTGTCCTGGAGGTCAATCCAGCGCTTCCTATGGTAGAGGTTGGTCTCTCCATCTTGGTAGGTTGGCTGCAATTTTCCTCCGTTCTGACAGTTATCAGGTCGGATCCAGACTATGGCTGGTTCCTAGAGATTTTTGGTCTTTTGACCGAGGAGCTATCCCTTCTTCCTCTTTGCTGGTTCATCACTACCGATGCACAGCGTGTCGATAGTGATATAGAGCCTATGGCTCTTCGGGTTTGTCACTTTGGATGCACAACGTGTCCATAGTGGCATTGCAGTGTGAGGGTTCACTGCCATAGTCGTAGGTCACGATGAAGGTTTCTGCAGGTGAGTTGTCTTCCCCCAAGCCTGTAGAGGTGGTGGGTCCAAGACATTACTCCTACGCTTCGACAGGTTCCTCCACCTTAGTGATCCTTGATTAGAGTTCCCCCCGGTCGAGTTTGATTATGAATGGGTATGTCCTTCCATTCAATCATGGACACCACTTGGGTGGTGGTCATAAGAGTTTATGGGATCCGAATGTAGGGTGCCTTTAAACTCTGGAATCCTCAATGATATTGTTTTTAAAGGTTTTCTCCTTCCCTGTGTAAGCATGACAAAAGAGATCTATTGTCCATATTCGTATGACAAAAGTTGTTCATAATGGTACCTACAGATAGGATTCTTTAGTGTAAAAATTCGTAAGTAGATGTTTACCAAAAGAAATTTGAGTCCCAATAGACAAGGGTGATCTCCTGATCCCCTTGTCATCTTTGTTCGAGTCCTTGCTGAAAAGAACACTGATCCTGGTCGACCCAGGCTAACTGCCTAGTCCTTTGTCGATGCCTTCCCCTCAGAGATTGCCGTTGAGGGGTCTTGCCCTGCTCTTTCAAGCAGAGCACCAATTGGACCTGTCAGACAGACATTTGTTGTCCTGTCTGGCATGTCCAGGGAATCCACAGCGGAGACATCGCTCTTCCATGAATTCCTGCTGCCAGTCTTCCTTGAATACGGTTTCTGGGCATCGATGGAATGGCGTCGATGTCGGCTTTGCCTCTTTATCTTGCACCATTTCGACTTGTCGGTGGGGCATTTGTTGTCCCATTGGATATGCCCAGTGTTTCCACATCAGAAGCACCTTCGCTCCCTCCTGAGATGATCCATGTCCATTTCTTCATCCGTTTCTCTAGGGCACGACACGCCTCTGCATTGGGAAAGAGAGGAGACCCTCTTTCCTAGTTCTGAGTCCAGAGACGTGGTCCAAAACACCTCAGATGGTAGGTGTGGTTTGGTCCAGTCTCTCCCGGGTCTCTTCATATTGAAGATGTCTTCAGTGCTGAAATTCAGCACCAAAGACACAGACAGTCTCGTCCTCATCAGAGGAGGTGTTGGCGGGAGTCTCACTGTCTTCTTCTTCCTCCGGGACTGTTCGGTATTCCTTTCCAAGGAATACAGGGGTGGAAAGTGAGTCCCATAGGTCTTCGTTGATGGGTGCTCTGGCCATTTGGTTGGGCCATATGGCCTCATACAATGTGTCCGGCCAGGGGGATTCCCAACCATCTCCAGCCGTGGAGCACCAGATGTCATTGGCAGTTGAGTTGGAGGGCATGGGGGGTAGATTCCAGGATCCTCCTTCGGGGGTGATCCAGTAATCCACTGGAAAGAGCGATCCCCAATCCAGTATCCCTTTTTCCTTGGCCACTCCTCTTTCCTTCCTGGCCAGGTTGCAGATTCAGCATGTGATTTGGGAAGCGACTTGATGGTACAGTCGATATACCTAGCAACAGGGTTGAGTGGATTTTCCTTGGAGAACTTCGGATTTGGGCCAGATGACTTCGGTCTCACAGGAGGAATCGGTGTCTGAACTCCAACTGGAGATGTCTCCTTTGGGGTATGAGTCTTGGGAGAAGATGTCTGACCCCGTGTGGACTCCCCATGCCTCTCTTGGAGTTCTGGCAGAGGAGTGGATTCCTTTGTCGAGCCCTGAGGATTCATCTCCTTGATGTCCTCCTGCATCGGTCCTTCTGTCTGTGGTTTGTCTGCCTCCCTGATCGATTCCCTGGGCAGGGAGGAAAGGGTCGTTGACCCCTTCGGAGGTGGTTCTTCGCCACTCTGTTCCCTTGATGGTGTTTCCATCACACTCCTCCAAAGTTCGTACACTGATGAGTCGGTTGTACTTGTTGGTGTAGAACTGTTGGTCGTTGGAGGTGAGGGGGGTATTAGGATCATCCCAGGATCCCTCAATGTCCTTCCAGTATCTGACTGTGAATTGTGGACTTCCAGGGTATTGGGTCTGGAGGTTCTGCTCTGACTCATTGAGTCGAGCTCAGTGGTTGCCTCCTGTGATGGGGCGAATGGGAGTTGATCCATCTCATGGTCATGGATGGGATCGAGTGCTGCAGTACAAGGGGTGCCTTACTAGGGATAGCAAGATTTCCAGGATGGGGGTTCGGCTCGTGGTAGAGCTTGTTGGGTTCATACAGTCACCATCGTGGAATGATGAGGAGAGTATAAAATATTTCTGTAGGGGTGAGCAACCCTGAGGACTCGTCGTATTATGATAAGGGTTCCTTCTTTGAATGCTCCGGATACTGTCATTGTTTTGTTAATGAAAATGACAAGGGCAGTGGTTGTAGAGCCCGTTACTCGCTCACTGATGGGGTAGTGAGGGTCGGTGCTCTCTGGAGTATGGGTTTATACGGTCACCATCATGTATCAATGGGTAGAGTTTAACAACAGTGTAACCGTTGTTTAGGCAGCAAGGGTATAGTGAAGTCAAGCTTCAGCTAATTGTAATGCACTAACTGGGATTGAACAACGTTTGCCTCCAAACTGTCACTCGCATTCGGTGATTCAGTGTGATGAAGGGCATTGCAATTGCTAGGTCAGGAATGGTAGTTCTTAGGCATGAAACAGGGAGTTTCTGCATGAAAAGTTAGGAGTGTATAACTTTAGCCGAAGCTGGGGTGTAAGACCACAGCGAGGCTCATTTAAATACATCGTGGTATTTACTAGTATGTACCGCTCCTGTATCTCGGTGTGTAAAGTCCCAGTGCAGTGCTGTCTTCTGTATCGTATGGTGCTTGGTATAGGAGAAGCTCTCCTGCGAGTAAGAAGGCAAGCGCCCATATGGCGCTTGATATGATAGAAGCATATCTGCGAGTCAGAGGGGTGGTGCTATCCTTGGACGAGCATATGTGGATCCCTATCCATCCTAGGAGAAAGCCATCCTGTGAATAAGAAGACTGGCATCCGTATGGTGCCATCCTCTGAGGAGCATACGTGGTGGCTTGTCCATTCTAGGATGTGATCAGAGTCGACCTAAAGAAGCGTGACTGGGTGAAGGAGGGTCAGGCCTATGGAGTGTGATCGGACCCATGGGCCATCAAACGGATCATGCATGCAAGGGAATATCAAGGGTCAGACCCATAGAAGTATGATCGGATCTATGGGGCCTCGAATGGATCCAGGGACCAATCAGGGGATTGATGGTTGTGTCGTGGCAATGCTCCGGTGATGTGGCATGAGCATGATGATGCAAGAAGCGCTCCTGTGAGTAAGAAGAGTAGCATCCATATGGTGCTACCTTCTACGAGGTATGGCAGCAGAGCCCATGACAAGGTTCCCATGATGTGGTCCATGGCGCGAGGTAATGCGGTGTGGGCATTGATACGCCGTCTACGTGTTCACACCTAGATTTTGCGATTTTATAACAATACTGTTGCAGGTCTATCCTATACTAGTCATATATCAAGGGCTATAGTTAAGACTTCAGACTGATAGTCAAGTTAGCATGCTACTAGTCGAGTCAGGACTTAGGAATGATACCACTAGTGGGTCAGCCCTACCAGCTGACCAGACTAGCACCTCCAAAGCTAGTATGACTTAGTAAAATACGGTCACTAGTAAAGAATACAGCTGCTAGCACCCAAACAAGAAGTAAGAACCCACACAGATCTCGACTATTCAGTCGCTAGTGGACCGATCTGGGCATGAATGCCTAAGTCAGGATGACTAGTCACACAAGCACTTCTGAAAGGACTTAGAAATGAACCAGTAAAGGCATAATCCTTAGCCCAGATCCAGCTAGTGTGATACAGATCTCATACGATCGGCACTAGTATAGCCGGGCTGCACCCCAATCACGATCGAGCAGTTGCTACAGGCATGGTTACCCGACTATTCATATAGCCATGTCACTAGTGGAGCACCGCTGGGCAAAGGGTGCAGAAACGACCCAATAGCGGAGTCCCTCGACCCGCTATCTGACAGAAAGAACAGGCTAGGCCGACTATTGTGTGATTATTCACCATAATTCGTGACTAGCCAAGACATCCTTACCAATATTACCCCTAAAGAATCTATTTATATTTATTCTGTACCTGTCTCTGTAGTATATAAGTAGTAGAAGGGGCGGCCTCGCAGGCCAGGCAAGCCATCCCCGCGATTGTAACCTACTAGTCTATATTCTAGTGCCCCAATTAAAGGCTTTTGTGCTTAACCTCGATGAAGTGTCTACTAGTCGCTTAGTCACCTATAGTATTGAACGAATTGAAGTGTCTTAAAGTTACTATTCCGTCTTGGAGTGACTCAGAGTGTTTCGAAGTTAGTTAAAGTATTTTCTCAGAGTTAAAGTATTTGTTCTTAGGCCAAGAGTGCCACTAGTCGAGCCTAGAGTGCTGCTAGTCAAGTGTAGACCACTTGTGAGACCCAGTATTTGGCCCAGAGTGCCACTAGTTTCAAAGTATCAGAGTTAGACCGGGCACAGTTGCTCAACCCAAGTCACTATTCATCCAATCATGTCTTAAAACCCTGCTAGCGCGAGTATTACATCTTGTGTAGCTCATTAGTACCAAATATACGTCTTTAAACAACCTTTCCCTGATTTGTTGAAGTCTGCAGAGTGCTTCTATCATACTCGAAACACCCGAACTCAATAATATTGGTGATTAGTGTAGAGTAGTAGAGGGTTTTGGTGTTGTGGTGTTCATATCCATTCACTAGCCTTTTGTCACTTGCCGTTACCGAGCACATCAGCATGTGACTGAGCAGGTCATGAATGATACAGATCAGGTATGAGGAATGATGATGAGAGTCAAATGACAAGTTGCTGAGATAAGATAAGATGAGATAAGATAAGGTAAAAAATAGGGGTGAATTCATGACAATATCAACAATAGTTGCAATATTGGGAAGATCAATCTTCTGTCTGGCAAAGTACAGAATTAACTGAAATGCTGCAACCAGTCTGGCAAAGGTAGAACCATCTAATTTGCAAAGAAGGTATGCACTGCCTTTATTCTGTCCTAAGATCACTAAAGGACCTAAATACCAGGCATGCATTTTCCTATTCAGGGCTTTCTCTATTTGCATATTCTGCATCAAGACTAAGTCTCCTTTTTGGAAGTTGAAATCATGGATAGTATGCTCATGATCCTTCTTGAATTTAATGGTGGCATTATGCCTGGCCTCATAGACTTTAGACCTTAAACGTTCAAGATCTTTTGAACACTTTTGAAGACTGACTGCATGATATGCTATTAGAGAAGTGGTACTGATGATATTATCAGGGGGCAGCATTAGCCAAGTTGATTTGACAATATTCATGGGGAGAAGAGGTTCCGTCCCGGTGGCGGCAAAATATGGAGAACAACCCATGTGCTTCCTGATAGTAATGCGATCTGCCCAGAATACAGAATAGGCATTTTGACTCCACTTCTTTTGATCTCCATCAGAAGCTTTAAATAAACCTTGATGGATGTCGAAGTGTGGCCTTTCCACAATCCCATTGGCTCTGGAATTATATCCAGAAATGCGAATATGGTTGATATGATATTTCTTTTGAAGATAGTTTAATGCTGTGATGAAGGCTTTCCCATTGTCTGTAACAATCTCGGCTAGGGATCCCCAATCTATATATTAAGAGAGGTGGACCACAGCCACAGGATTTGCTTATGTAAAATTAGCAGACTTTGAATTTCTGGCCATTCCCATACCATGGCCCTTTCCAACTCAGTTTGATTATGGGTGCACTGCCACCCACTCTTTTTCATGCCTGCACCTTCCTCCACCCGCGTCGGTCCATTGTTTCACACTCCCTGCACCGCATTATCCCAGGTAAGGATTAGTTCCTTTTCTTATGATGTTGGCCCATCTGATCATGCTCTTTTAGGCAATTTGGGTGTCCTTTTCACGGTACTGCTCATCAATCTTTGATGGAAGCACCCTTTTGCTGATTTTCTTTTCAGGTGTTCTTGCTCTGGGTTTGTGTTTTCTCTCACAGAAGTGACTTCCCTTTGCTTCTGGAGTCTATTTTTAGCTGCTTTCAGTCCAGATCATTAGTACAGAGTAGATCAAGGTGCTGCTGGGTGATCCCCTCAATTTCTGTGTCAAAGTGAAGACGGGAGCTCTCAGATTGGATTCTGGGCCTCTCTGCTTTCTTTAGGGCACAGTTATTGGTGACAAGCCTACCCTCCTGCATGCCTGTGAATAGGGGCCTCTGTCAAGCACAACGAGTCAGGGAGATTGGTGTGGCAGGACCGATTGGGTATCTGTGTTCACACAGATATAGTTGCCCCCCCTTCCACTTGCTGGAAGTGTAGCTCCATAAACTGCTGTTGTAGCATTGAATTCCTCTGTGTCAAATTTTCTTGGTCTGTGAGCAGTCTATCATAGATTTCTGTTGTATAGAGGTTTGTTACTCTGCGATCAAGACTGATATCACTATTTCTTGATACCCTACAATGTATGTATCTGTTTTCTCTCATTTGATAAACTTAAGATGCTCATTACTTTGCTCTAATAGGAACCCATCCACTCCCTCCAGATCATGTGATCCTTTTCATTCTCCTCCAGTTACACCAGAGCATACATGTCAGACTCAGCGGGAGCATGATCACCTTCAGCATCTGCAGATGACCTCTCCTTCTCATCGCCATGGACAATCTGCCCACCCAGGTCCTGACCCTAATATTGCACTTCCACCCTTACATATTCCACCTGAAACACGTATTCCATCTCAGCTGGACCGACCACATGAACATCCTATGCCTGTGGTGCCATTGCTTCCTGCCACTACCTCCAGAGGTGTTCATCGTGGAAGACCACGTGGTACTGGCCATGGTGGGGCTTCCATGTTACGGTTTATTCTTTTCTTTTTCTTTTCTTACGCATTCACGCTTACACTATGTTGCGATTCTGATCGGACATTCCCACAGTACTATTTTTAGTCTACTCAACGTGTATTTAAGTAGAGCCTCAGCTGGCCTAAAACCCAGCTTCGGCTAAGGTTTAATCTACCTAACATCGAACTCCGTGTTTCGCGTCTATCTCGTTCGCTCGCTGCCTTAACATCGCCTTTGACCCACTGG